GTGACCATGTTTGGCCGAAATCGCGGTTCGGCGCATGTCGGCCCGCATTAGCCGCGCGTTTGCAAGTTTTTCGTGGTTTCAAACGTTCAAACATGTGAGTTGATGTTGCTCCCATGCATTAGGGTGGGTGTCAAGGTCACCTGAAGGTCAGGTCAGGTCATTGACCTTTGGTGACCTCGGGTGACCTCGGTTCACTTTTTCGAGTTTTACATGTTTCTAGGCTAGTTGTTGGAGCTGAATTCGAATTTAGCAACCATTTGAACATTTACGAAGTAGTTTTGGTGCCTTCGTAACATGTTACGAAGCTGTCAGAGGCGGTTGACACGTATTACGAATACCCGTCACAACCCCTACCGGTTGACCTGACCTGACCTGACCCGACCTGGTCTAAAAGCTTAAAGACATCATCTCTGATCAAAACTAACACGATATTCGTGATCAGCACCCCGGAAAACCACATAGCAGCCACACTTTACGACTTTCTAACAGGTCCCGATTTTCCCGGTTTTCGGGTCATTGACCTGACCTGGAAGGTCACCCGATGACCTAGGACCTTAAAATTGGGTATCATCGGCTTCCTCTCGTGACGGGCAACACGCTCGTTTTTTTCCGCGAAGCTCTAGCTCGATCAGGGGCCAAACGCGAGGGGGGGGGCCGTACCAACCCCCCCCCCCCTTGTGCCGTCGAAGGACTCAAAATGGCCTGTGCCGGCGAGGGTTAAAGGAGGCCCCAGAGGCGAAGAGGAGGCCCTCTTATGAAGAGACCCTCTACTTCGGCTTGCGACCCCTGTCAAAAATCCGTGGCACCGCCCGTGCCTCCCTGTGACGTCACAGGTTAAATATCAAGGTCATCGATATCCTTTCCGGTGCATCTCGATGAGTTCTTTCGATTGCCGTTTGAATTTTTCCGATACGGCTATTGGTTCCGGAGATACGCGGGGGGCCCTTTGGCACCCCCCCCCCCCCCAACAGGACGTGGAACCCGCCAGACCTCAACGGGGCGCGGGTTAAAGCAGGGGCGTCGCCACGGATTTTTGAGTGGGGGGTCGGGTTTCTAGTCTTCACCCGATGGGTAGGGGTGTTTTTTTTTGCCACACTTCCCAGTTTTGTGCGTGCGTATGTGTGTGTGTGCGCGTGTAACAAATCGACGCGCAGCGCCGCGAAATTTGGTATAACCTATTAGGTAGGTATACCTACCTACATCACTTGCGTAAAAATTATCACTGGTCACTTAAGGTCAGGTCGCCATGTCAAGTTCAGTTATACGGTATACCTCTATCAAACTTTCCCCTCTCGCCATTCTTGTAGCTTTTCTCCCATAACTTCGAAATTTGGTACACTGTAGGTATAGCTAATGTATGGGGTTATACGTGTCCGCAATTCATGATTCTGAGGATTTACATTTATGATCTGGAGGCAGGTCAAATACGTGACTTCATCATGAGAAAATAATGAGAAATTAGAAAATGCACGAATGCCTCCTGCTTTGAAAAAGTTCGTCAGAAACGCAAAATATCTTTGGAGTCATGACAAATCAGCTCATCATTGCCAGGGACCGGGGGCAACTTATGGCGAGTGATGACTCGAAAGGTCATTAGTGGAAATGCCCATCGGTGGCCACCAGCATTTTTTCTACAACTTTTGACGAAGACGCGGTAGAGCGATGACAGCACCTGGAAGGTGTTCACTGTTCAGCTCAACAACACGGACCCATTCATATGCAGCAGGACGTCCTTTTTCGATCAGGACATAACGTTGACCTGAAGTCGTTTTAACGTTAATTCTGAATGGTCAAATCTTAACTCATGTGACGCGTCTCAAAGAGATAAACACGGTGGTGACAAGACAACATATGTAAATACCATACAAATTCACGGAATCTAAAGTTATTGCAAAGCAAATGTTTCGGCAGAATCTGTCCAGTTCGCTGTTTGCCTTCTATGGGCAAGACATAGACCAGAGGCCAGTTTCACCAATAAAAAACAGACGGCTGCGATTATTTTTTGACAAAATGATAGTCTATAAATCCTATTTACTGGTGGAAAAAGTCATTGCTGACCTAATAATATAGCACTTGAAAGCTGCGTTATTACATTTTTCAAGTCAGCGATTAGCATTTTTAGCAGTAAATGACATTTTGAGACTATCGTTTTGTCAAAAAATAATCGCAGTCGTCTGTTTTTTTATTGGTGAAACTGGCCTCTGAGATGAAATCTGACGCGAAGCTAGCGAAAGAGCGTTGAAAGAGCTATCAAGTATCGAATATGTTTTCTGCTTCACTGTAGCCCTTCTATTGGTGGGTTCCCTGTCGCTAACGTATAACGTATACTAAACTAACGCTGAGGTATGCTTTCGACCCCTGATCGATCTAGAGGTTTGCGGAAAAAGAACATGCTGCCCGTGACGAGAGAAAGCCGATGATACCCATTCACAAGGTTTTGGGTCATCTCAGGACAGGTCATCGCCAATAAGTAGGGAAACTCGGGACCTGCTAGAACTTTGCGAATGTAATTTGTGATGGTTTTTCGAGGTTCTGATTACGAATGTTATCTGAGTTTTGAACGAAGATGATGACTCCATGCATTTGGGGTAGATCAGGTCAGGTCAGATCAACCAGTACCTAATAGTGGATGACCACCACCGATTGCTTCCTAACATGTTATACATATGTATAAGCAACACAACTACTTCTTAAATGTTCAGATGGGCGCTAAGTTCAAAATCAGCTCCAAAAACTATCCTATACCTAAATCAAAAGCATGTTATGAAAAAGTGAACCAAGGTCATCTTTATTTGAATCAGGGATATCGATTTATTTTTAAGTAGGTGATTAACTCGAGCGCACCGGAAGTTTCGTTGCAATCGGCTCCTTTTTGCGCGACTTCTTTGCGAAAGCCCGAGACGGTCTCACCTGACTCCCTTTCCCCTACATGTGCACTGTACAGCTAGTTGTGACGGTAGCCATAGGGCTGAGGCTAGTTTGTAGTTTTGTAGTTAGGTACTGATCCGACGAGTCGACTGCGACCATTTTTTTTTCTTTAACGATCAGACGAACGCTCGGGGCAGTTTTAGCGCGTCCAATCCTTTGAGGGATAAAAAGGTACTAGAATGGTGGCTACTTAAAAATATTGTTGTGCTGGTGTTCCCCGCCCACAGCTAATTGAACTTTAGGTAATTGGCTAATTGGCTTTATGGAGCTCTTGAAGCGATTCTGAATCTGATGTATTTGTTGGTGTTGCTGACGCCTGCTTCACTGACATAAAAGCTAAAAAAGCATACCTACTCAGCATCGCAAAAAGTGGGGGGTCGACACCCCCAGTTTTCAAGAGTGGGGGGGGGTCACGACCCCCCGACCCCCCCGTCGGCGACGCCCCTGGGTTAAAGAACTTATTGAGCTGCGTCTTTTCGTGTCTTTAATTTGCAATTTGCTTAAACCCTCGGTTTTAGCGATTTTTTTTAACTAGTAGCCATTTTTGACGAAAAAAAAACATGTAGTTACATCAATAAAATCGATAAATCTAAAAAAGTTTTTGAAAAAATTGCATAACAATTTGACAAAAGCCGTCAAATTTATGAAGGAGAAGGTATACGAAGTTTCAAGTTGATAGCGTAAGCGGTTCGTGAGTTATTCGTGAAAAACGGAGGGGGGTCAGATCCGACCCCCCCCCTCCAGGCGGTCGCGGGTTAGGATGTCATCAATAATGGAGAGACATGGGCCTGGTTACCCCCTATACTCTGCAGTTGCACTGAGCTAGTGTCTGAGTGTTCCTGTCACATTACAGTGACTACCGACCAATATTCCAGGTTGTGGTAGCGCCAGGGAGAGCCAAAACACGATCATCCTTCCGGCTAGAGTCGGTTTCAGCGAGCTGAAGGAGCTGCGGAGCCCACGGGAGACTAAGGAGCGGCTGTCAGTCACCATCGTTGACATCCCGCGACTGAGGGGGCAGCTGCCGAAAGGCCTCAAGCGCCTTACTGTCAGAGGTGAGATACCAGGGATCACACATATGTATTGTCGGTATATGCAAATGGACAGCGGAGACTGTAAATGGACAAACTGATAAGATTCGCTAGTTGTCCCTATCCTATTCGATCCGATGATCCGATCAGATCACACACAAACAACGTTGTTTGTGTGTGATATTGTGGGACTTTCGCGAGTTGCTATCAGGGACCGCGGTTTCCGGGGGGTGGGGTGTGCAATTGTACACCCTGAAAATCCCGAGGGTGTGCAGACATCTATTTTTGCACACCCACAGTTCGTTGTGGGGGCCATGCGGGCTACTGAGTGCTGAGGGCCTTCACTGGCGCTTGAGTGTACAGGAGGTCTACAAAATAAGTTCTCTCTGTATGCGGGCAGGTGGCGCCCGAGTATCGCTCAGGCGCTAAATGCCCACTGGTGACCCGCATACGGCGGGCATGGGCGGCGCCACCGTGGGGTACATGGGGTACAGTGGCATATCCAGAAATCAGCGAAAGTGGGGGGGGGGCATGGTGCTCGAGGGGGCGACTTTTTCCCTTGAGAGGGGCGCCATTGTCAGCTCGCTACAGGGGCGTCAGTCTAAAATGTGACGTCATGTTCATGCATGATTTACTAGACGCTGCAAAATACGAGTATAAAAACTAGGATTCGCTGATTTGTCATAAAATCCAATTAACCCGCGCCCTGCTGTAGCCTTTCTCATAAACATTTTTTACTATTACTGGTGTATGGTAGAATAGTGATTTCAAGTTTACTAATCACTGCTGCCCTCTGTCTCATAAACAATAGTGAAAAGTAATTAGTAAAAGAGTAAGATTTCGGAGCTCAGTAACGCTTGAAAACGAGTCATGGGACCTCCGTGTGGAAGATATCTTTTTAATTTTGTTTTGATCGTCGAAATGCGGTAGACACCGCTGCGGTTCTGGCATAGATATACAGACTAGATAGGGCAGCTGTTTAGCGACGGCATGCAGAGGGCGCCGCCATGTTGGGGCAGCCCTCAGCGGGGCGGCTCTGTGTAAGTGAACGGGAAAATGGGAAAGTTTACGGCACATTTTTTGGTATTTTTAGGGTGAAAAGTGCTTGTCTCTGCAGTTCAGCTCATAGATTGAAGCTTGGAGAATGTCAAATGGAGGTTGAATTGTGCTCAACTAGTTTTGATTTAGATATATGAAGACAGAAAGGAGGGAGTGTTACCCGGATGGCGCCATTGTCTGACAGGTATGCTGCTTTGCATTTCAGGGTATTTAAGGGGTTAATAGTACATTTTGTTGGATAAACATTATGTGGAAGTACAGTAATATCTCATATCTTTATTTTCTTCCTTATTTACTATATAAAGAACAAAAGATCTGGGCATTGAAAAGTGTAGTTAGTGATACAAAATGCTGGTGCTAAAATGAGTTTTATTGTAGGCCTTTGGTAGGTTAAATTATAGCAATTTGTCAAATATATCCTCATTTCATATTTAAAAACACTTCAGCTTTTGAAAAGTTACTGTGCGCCAGACTGCAAAGCGCGTCAACACAGTCAGCAAGCCGCACAAGCTAGGGCGACATGTCTGCTTCAGTCCTCTGAAAATCTGCAACAGATATCAGCTGCACTGACTAGCAAGACCTACATTTTTACCACAAGCTTCTATATCTTCACTGTTGATAGGAAATGCTGCAATATAAGACTTGAAATCATGTTGACTTGCAGTCGGAGTCAGTGACTGCGTTATGTCTCTGACGACTGACTATCTGTTCACCATTTTCTTGGAGTAGATATGATATGCCAGTGCAGCAGATCTGCATTGTATGATGTTATGGCCAGCAATGCTCAACACAAAAATGTTTACCTTTCTGCTGCAAATCTAAGCCACCCTGTGCAGCTGATGAGCACCTCTGCACTGGCAATATGTTATCGGCATTGCCGTCTGGGCTGTGGTTGGTGCATTAAAAACAATAGTCTACATGTGAAATTCCAAAATTGCGAACCATTTATTTCTCTTGCCATCTAAATGGTTTGAAATACCTAAGTCTTCATTGACCTGGGTTTTATGAGCAAAGTTGGTAAATGCATATTTCAAACTGAGTACAGTGGTGAGCGAGTAGGAAAATCCTTTCCTGATGCATAGTTACTGGCTAATGTAACCCAGGTAATTGACTCAAGAAAATGATCAATTAATGTATCTATCTTTCAGGTTCAGTTATATGCGCAACTCACAAGTGCTCAAAAAGGCTGCAAGATGCCTAGCTAGCAACCGCTCCAACCAGTTTGAAGGAAGAAAGGGTGTACTTCTCCACAGGTAAATAGAAGATATCTTTTTTCAGTTAAGTCTGAGAGGATGTTTTAGAAATGGATATAAATTGCAGTTAGTATTGTTCTTATTATGTGTTTTGTGAGATAGTCTCTGTTCATGTTGTAATGTGGATACATCACGATCCATAACAACAGTTGGCCATAAGAACAATTGATTAAACAATGGTCTGTGAAAAGCTGAGTAGCATCAAGATGCAGTGAATATAAATGTATAGTTACAAAGGATATTTCATTTGAACAAATCTCCTCCCAGCCCCTTGTTACCAGTTATTCAACACATTAACAGATGCCTGTCATTTTTTCACTTTCTAGGTTTCCTCAAGACCCAGATGTGTACAGCGAAAGGACTGGCGCATCAGGTGAAGATGGATTGGTGGCAACATGTGTCGGAAGGGGGCAAGCTTGGTCATGCGGCACACTTCATGATGAGGGCTCCTTCGATTGCACAGACCAGCTATGGTGCAGTCCCATCAGGTCTTTCTTCCCTGCTCACCTGCAGGTGAGTGGCATGTAGTTGTGCAAGGTGAGCAGAGTCCACTGCTGTGTCATTACTAACATGTGAAAGCAGCCTATGATCTGTTTATACTGTTACAACATACCATACCATTACCAACTTTGAGCACAATCATTCCAGATGTTTGTGAGAAATAGATACATGCTCTGCACATGTACAATTGTACACATACAATAGTATGCCTCAAGTGATTGCTTAAACTTATAAGCCACTCATCAGATTGGTCTCCAACCAGTGTCCCAATTTTGTATGCAATGCATCTTGCCATTCTGGATTCATAAAAATTCCCAGCACTGAGCACGCGCTTGCACCCAAACCACATTTCTCATTGCATTGCCAAGGGAAGTGGGTGCCCAACAATACACAAAGTTTCATCAAAATGTGTCCAGGCATTAAATAGGAGTTATTGCAAACAGAACAGATTTGGCACCGATGATTTAGTAAGTGCCTGGTGGAACGTGCCGAGTTGACTCCCCAAATGCTTCAACAATGTGTAATTTCAAGGGAGAATGGATAAGCTACACAACATGATAACTGTTTGCTAAACAGCATGTATGGCTGCAAAGATATGGGCCTCTCTAGAATGTTTGATGCCAAGTTTGACAGTTAATACTCTGTACTCATTTAAGTTTAAGTTTGACAGTTCATACTCAATTAACCCGATATTTTTTGAAATTATATCTCAATATTTTTCGATAATCAATCTCATTTCTTTCTCGATCGTAAATATTTGTATTCTATGGACCATGATTGATCGCCTCATGTGTGAGTGTGTGTGAACATGGCAGTGTGTGCATGTCAGTGTCGAGTCCGCTCATCGCCCTATCCCTATAGGAGAACTAAGAATTAGGCATGATTTGTTGTTTTTTATTTTCCTCAGGACCATTTCAATAGCTGCCAGAGCTGCGGGGGCTGAAGCAAAGGCTAGAAAAAGCTGCGACCAGGACGTTGGCCTGTTCCAAGCAGTCTCGAAACGCACACAAGAACGGGAAAATGTCGATCCGGACAGCACGCCCCAGGGAGCGTCACTCGTCAGAGGCGGTCTCGCGACGGGCAGGCCGGGCGGTGCCCAGGGAACAGCGTCACCCGTCTGTGGCTGCCCCGATGGACAGGCCGGGCGGCACTCCGGCAGCAGCTGCATCCGTCTGTAGCGGCCCCGACAGCAGGCTGGGCGGCACCTTGGGAGCAGTGGCACACGTTTATGCGTGGGGTGGCCCCGACGGCAGACCGGGCAACAGAGGCAGTGTACAGGCCACAGGGAATAGCGGCACCCGTCTATGGTGGCCCCGACGGCAGGTCCGAGGTCGGACACCGAGGCGGCTCCCAGGGAGCAGCGGCACCCGTCTGTGGCGGCATCGACGGCAGGACGGGCGGTGCTGATGTAGTAGCGTCTATTTTGCTGATAAACGTTAGCGATATAGGCATCATCCTAGTCACCATGCTCAGGCGCGTCGATGATATGGGCGGTGTTTCACGGGACGCTGCTACCACGCTGCTATCAAATTGCGCGAGTTGACGTCACACTTGTGGTAGTGTTGGAGCAATGGGCCTGTTGATGTTTCCATGGAAACCCAATTTGACACGTATAAAAGCAGCGTGCTGCTATCACGGGTGAAACAGGGCCATGCTTGTGCTGGGATAAGGTCAACCTAGAATTCTGACCTTACGTCAAAGTCAGGTCAGCCTCTCCGACTCTGGCTTCGTGACATAATCTATGTCGCTAAAGTAAACGGTGCAAAAGTTAAAAATTGGTTTACAAGATGTGTATTAACTATTATCTCATGGTTTCGTGCGTTTGCATAATATTCAATCATTTTTCGGCACCAAAATAGCAGTTACCACCTTTCCCCATTGACTTGTAATGGCGATGTCACGTGACTGACCTGACCTCAGGTGACCATCAGGAAAAATATTAGATATACAAGCTATAAGGTCTCTGGAGGGTACAAGGTTCTGTTAGTTTGATCTCCCTGTGAAAGCTCTTCTGGCACTGAAGGCATTGCAAAGTTGCGGCATGTCATGACCGCGCGGTGGCTTTATTATGACGTCATAGGTCAGTGACCGGGCATGACCTGAAAGGGTGATTAGTGTCATAAGATCCGGATTTAATGAAAGGTCAGTTGTACCAACTTTCAGCTCTCTGAGGCCAGCGCGTACCGAACAAGCACGAGTAAACCGTCTGGGAACAAGGGGTGACTAATCCCTCGCTGCGGTACGGTACGATGATAAAAAATTGATTTCAAATACATTTGGTGATGCTATATGCTCTAACTAATCATTTCATAATCATACTGGCCATCTGCAGCCTCCCAATAACTCAAAAATCGGTTTGGAAAACGGGTTCGAAACCGCTCCACCCCCATTCACTTTACGTGTTGTAGCAAATGCGAGTCTATGCAGGCGGCTGCCCCAACATGGCCGCCTGACCTACATGCTCGCTAGTATGGGGAGCCAATGGGCGTGTCCTATCTAGTCTGTATATCTATGGGTTCTGGCTATATATCTTGGTACCTAGACCAATGATCGGCACGGGACCAGCATCCACGTATCGATAATTGAACGAACTATCAAATAACATCGATTTATGCCATGAAGGCACCGGCGAATATTTGATGAATCATGCGATGTGGAGATAGCTGGCGCAACTAGGAATTGTTTTCGATGGAAGGGGATCAGAGTTTTTAAAGCAGGCCCCCACGGCACACCCACTTTTAAAATATTTCAGTATTCCGTGCGCACTGTGCTTCTTGCCATTAAGTTAAGGATCCCTGCAAGCATGTTGGTTTTGACTTTTGACCTAAATTGGTTCGAGCTCAATTTTTAAGGTCGAGATTTATTTTGCTGAGACCTTTTGTCTGGTCACTAACATTTCATTTTCGGTAGATGCTTCATTTACAGAGCAATGCAAAGGAAAGGGAAACACCCCGGACCTGGGCACTGGATTGGACTAGACTTTGGGTTGGATTTCCCTGGCTCGGCTAGCCTAGTCCGTATCACATCTGTACGCGGCTTTAAAAAATGCATATCACATTTCAGTTGCAAGTATTTCGTTGTAGTTACATATTCACATGGTTATATCAAGGATTACAAACGCACAACCGTGCAGACATTAACGTATCTACAACACATGGGCGAGAAAAGAGATCTCCCACGTGCCGCCAGTACGGCCCAATATGAGCTCGTACGGGCGCTCCCGCGCCGCGGTCAAAGTTGCTATTTGCTCGTCGGCCTTCTCCTTCACACTGTGCAGTGTGGTGCACGGTTGGTTATTTGAGCACAATGACTTCGATAGCCGGCAGATCCCACTCGTCGTAGCTGACCGTCACCTACAACGCTGCTTGTAGGTGGGCATACGAGAATTGTCGCACACAATAGCCCCAGTGGATGGCATCACTGTATATGTAATGCATGACTCCGTCCGACCAACCGATACAGTCATTAGAATATCTAGAAGTTATTTGATATGCTGGGGGAGGCATGCTCCCCAATAATGTGCTTCATTTTTGCTTTTTCAAAAATTTCTCGGATTGTGATATGTCATGCCTATTTGTGCTGTTTAAATCAAACTTCTGATAAAAGTTGTTGGTTTTCCTCTCAATGCGAGGAAAAATGCGTAAGTTCGTACCTTTGGTGCGCTGCAAAGGGGGACAAATACTCCAACGTGCCCCTGGAACCATCAGTGGTCACGGCGGTGAGCGCTATTTTGCTTCAAGTTGTATCTAAGTGCTCAGCACCGACAAAGTATTCAGCATCGTATTTGTTTTGTACTCACAAGACCAGTTATTGTTTTTTCTTCACTTCAGGTTCAGGTTCAAGTAGTAGGCTAATGTTGGACTTGCGTTTATTCTATGCCGACATCGAAAATGCCTCGGTTACTGGGCCTTCCTTTATTCTTTATCATGTTTCAGTTGATAGCCCGTTGTCCGTGTGTCTTGTTCTTTTTCAATTAATGTCTCTCCTTCAATGAAAATCCATCGCAGTTCACATTTTGAACGTTTCGAACATATCTCCACTTCACAATCACATTAGCTTGCCAGAAACACGCTTGACCTCGTTCAGTTTGCCAGGATGGAGAGCCAACTTTTCATTTGATTTAACGTGAGGTTTTAGCAACAATAGATGTTTTTAAAGAAAAAAAATGAAGTTTGTTATTTGTCAATAAAAGGCTTATGCCGAAAACTCAGGACATGCATTAAGACATTAAGTACAATTAAAGCTTAAAGCAAAACTCGTAAGCTGTTTTACTGCAAGGTAGAGCAAGGGTGAAATTGACAGCACGAAAGCAAACGTCATTCGACTTTTTTACTACGGCACGTGCTTTTATGAAACACAACCCAGGATCTTCCTACTGGTCACCAGTAAAACTGCGCTATATAGTTCGTTTTTTTTTTCAAAAGGACGCTGGCTCCAAGTATGTTTTTCGAACAAGCACGTGTTTTAGCGAGCAAAACGAGCAAAAACTGAACCTGGGAAAATCGAACGTCGACTAATTTTAACATGTGATTTCTTCCCGATAATTTCCATATGGGCGTTTTGGAAGCAGATATGAGAACAGCGGTGACGTCATGCTGTCGAACATGTATTTCAATGTAACTTATGACTATCATGGACGGAACCGCTCACTCGATTATAAGCTCGGCAACAGTGAAAAACTTACTTTCACCCAAATTCGTTGACACTTGTCCCACTGCACGGGCATTTGGGTGCCTGCTGCCACCAGTGACGTCATCATAGTATATTCCTTTTTAAGAAACAATTTCCAGCTACTTACCGTGCAAAATTTGAAATCGTGTATTTCTTCGGTAAGAAATTCTTGGCCAGACACTGAAGCTGCCAAAACTCACGTGAGAGCTTCGATATTGAACTTTGAGCCAGCGTCCTTTTGAAAAAAAACGAACTATAGTAACCTAGTAAATTTGCAACTCTAGGTAAAAGTAATTTTTGCTTTATGAAACAGAATTTTACTGGTCAACAGTAAAATCGTGCTTTTTACTATTACTTTTTACTAGACAAAGCTTTATGAGAAAGGCTACTGGGGGGTGTTTGAACCCCCCCCCCTTGTGGTTTTTCGCGAATATCGGCGCGGAGCGCCGCCGTTTTTGGTACACCTTATCATACATCAATTCTACACATGTTGTGAAAATTTCAGACCAAGGTCATTCAAGGTCAGGTCACCAGGTCACTTGAAGTGACCTCACCTCATAAAAAGTTTCAATGTCTGCCATTGCTACACCGAGTGACCGATCGCTTTGAAACTTTCAGCGACTGATTTGGGTAACAGTATCTATCAAATGTATATCTCAGAATTTTGATATCGGTGACCTAAGGTCAGGTCAATTTTGCGACCTACCCATTATAAGTCAATGGGAGAAAATTGAAATGCGCCTCTTTTGGACCAAAGACATTATAAACACTCCCAAACACTGAATTACAAGTGGTTCAAACACACTGAACAGGAAAATGGTGTCCGTGACCCCTATTTATGCCCCTGAGGTCATCTCCGGTCACGAATGGTGTCTAACAGTTTTTCGCAAATAACTTTAAATAGAGGCATGCTAGAGCGGTGAAAACGCCTTAGATGTGTTCCGCTCGACGATACGGATCGACTGATATGCAACATGACCTTTTTCGGTCAGGTCATGACCTTGACCTGAGGTCAAATTTTCAAGTTGACCTTTCAAGGTCAAGTTATAGTTCATTCGATGCGTCTTGACGAGAGGAATATGATGCCGGTAAAAGTGAGCTCGCACAAGGCTTGGGTCAAAAATTATTGCAGAAAAACTGTTTAAGAAAATATCGGCTATTTTTGCAGTTTTTGCCCCCTGCAGGGGGGGGGGGGGGTGGGGGTTAATTAGATCAAAAGTTATAAGCGAAAAAACCTATCTCCAGCCGTATAGGAGATATCGACGGAAAAGGACAGGGCGCGGGCCGTTTCGGCTTCCCCCCTACGGGGGCGGGTTAATTAGATCAAAAGTTATAAGCGAAAAAACCTTTGACCCATTTTTGGCAGAATTTTTACATTTATACCCCCAAACCTCCCCCACCCCTTAACCTTCGCCCCAGTGGGGGGGGGCATATGTTACCACCCTGTCGCGTTTTTCACGTGTGAATAAAAAACCGCGGCGCGTAGCGCCGCGCCGCTTGGGTAGGTTTTGGTACATCAATTTTGGACAATGTGTGAAAGTTTTGACCCCAGGTCATGTCAGGTCAGTTCAGCAGGTCAAGTTAACTGACTAGGCCTAAAAAGTTTGCAATCATGTCCCGGCAGTGTTTGTCAGAAAGGTTTTAAACTTCGTGGATTGCATGCTGTTATGGGCACGTACAATTTTTATATCTCGGATTTTTTATATCCGTGACCTAAGGTCAGGTCAGTGGCGTGACCTTTCCATTAGAAGTCAATGGAGAAAAATGAAAATGCCTCTAGATCCGTGTGTACGCATAGGAACAGTCCAAATATTTCAGAATCACAATGATTTAGTCCACTCGTGATGACCAAGGTGTCATTTTTGCT